GGCCACCTGTGATTCCTAACCTTGCAGCTGGCCTTCTTGCTCTCAGGGGTCTGGTCCTAAAGTTTCATTCTCAGGACTGTGCCGGCTCCACACGGATGCTTCAAATCTTTTAAAAGTCATCTTTTTGATATCAGGAACAGCATATGATCAGGGCTGACTAGGGGTAAGGGACTTGACCTAGAAGAAGCCAAGTCCTAAGGACAAAGATGGGGAGTATGGCTTGTTAAGGCCTGGGCTTGGGCCATGGGCTGAGCGCCACAGATTGTAAGAAATGATGAAGTGACCAGAATGACTTAGAAAAACGTTTTTGTACACAAAAGCCCACAGTGAGGCACAATAGACCTTTCATATTTTATGTATGGGCTGACGAATTCTACTCGATCTCAACTGCTATAGCGTAGGAAAATGTAAACACAAAGTCACATTGGGAAACATCTTCACCTGGAACTGTGTGGCATTTTTTATTTGGACAGGAAGGCAGATGAAGCACAGGTGTTGGTTCATGGACTCCCGACGTCCACTCTATCCCAGGCTTCTCCCAGGAGGCCCCTACCCCTGCCTGTCAGCAATTGGTTGACCCAACCTCAAACCTCTGGTCACTTGGCTTTCTAGGAGGGTGATGAGACACCTGTGTCGTGGCTGTTTTCCTAGCCATCCAGGACAAAGGTGATCCCCAAGTGGCAGTGCCCTCGATGTCATGGGGGACATATTATATTTCCCCAGGGTGTGTATGACTTGGGTTATTTGTAGTTGGAAGCATTTTAAGGGCCCAGAGCCTTTCAGAAACAGAGTGCTAGACCTGACAGCCCATCCCCCACCCTTAGCCCCTATGAGTGGCCAGACACAGGTGAGCTTAGAGGTAGAGACCCTGTCCCAAGTAAGCCTAGATGTCACTGCCTGCCAGACTCAGGTGTCCCTGCTCTCTCTGCTAGGTTGAACTTATGTAGAAATGCAGTCACGAGTGAGTGATGGGCTGTATCCTTCCCCGGATCCTTACTGCTTATTATTGCTTAGACTGAGACTTGTTGACTGAGCCTAGATCCCTGTGCACCCATATTTCAGGCCCTTTCAGTTCCAGGCAGCACTGATCCCACCGACCAAGGGACACCTTTGTGTGGAGAATAACAAAAAGAAAACGCTGTGTAAACGCCACCACCCACGTTCGTTCCCTTGCCTGACATAGCTCCCTGTCAGGGTGTGCATGTGGGGGTGGCTTGGGAGGCAGCAATAATGACACTCCCAGAAGGCCACCACTTTCTGTCCAATCAGCATTCCCCTGACATATTGCTTACCAAAGCCACTCCTGGCCAGAACTCTACCAGCGCATCTGACGGGGCCACCGCACCTGCCCTTTGCCAACTATGGAGTTGGATGGAGTTGCTGTCTCCAGAGGCCCCACGACAAGGTCACTAGCTCCTCTCACTTGAGATGCTCTGTGCCTGGGTCCCAGTGGGACAGGAAGAGTCTGAGCCCTTTCCCACAACCCCTGGAACTTGATGTTTGGGAAGGAGGGTTGTAAAACACCACTGCCCCCATCACTTGGAAATCCCTGCCAATGAAGGCGACCTTGAAATAGGAGCAGAATGCCTTCTGGGGAGCTGCTTCTGTCAGACATCTGTGCACAGGGACGGCTCTCAGATGGCTTCTGTATCTAAGGACGTTTGTCCTGGCATCTGTGATCAGGAGATCCAGGGCAGGGCAGAGAGATGGGACCCTTCTCTGCTGAATATCCTGAACATCCTTTTCATGGAGGGCTGAGGACAGTCTCCCCCCTCCTCCTTCTCCTAAAAATATCTTATTTTTATTGTATTGTGTTTATGCCTGCACGTATGTATGTCTATGCATCATGTGCATGCAGTGTCCATAAAGGCCAGAAGAAGGCGTTGGATCCACTGGAACTGAAGCTGCAGACGGTTGTAAACCATCATGTGGGTGCTGGGAACTGAACCTGGACCTTTTGGAAGAGCTATAAATGCTCTTAAGTAGACAGCCATCTCTCCAACCCCTGCATTCTCCTTTACTAATGTTTCTCAATGTGAATGGTCAGGAAGGAGCCCTATCTCTTTCTGTACTTTGAATCATTTAGATTTTAAAGTCCTCCAGTTTGGAGGACTGGATCTGAGCTTGAGTTATCCTCTTCCCATCCCTCCCCACACCAGGATGTTCTAGGTCACCATGCTGCTCCACTGCCAACTACCTACAACCACAAGCAATGAGCAGGTCGGGGACAGGACAGGGATGGGTGGGGGCTGGGACAAGTGGGAGAGGGAAGCCAGAAGTCAGCTCTTCCAAGTTAAAAGGAAAACAATGGCCTACAACCATGCAATGGCTGAATCTGCCCTGCTGGCTTTTAGGTTCTAGCTTTGGTATTGGGACTGAAAGAATAAAGAGACCCCAGGGACTAGAAGCATTGGGGATTTTGTTTCCTGTATCCTATCACTTAGCTAATAAATCAATTAATTTAGCTATAGAAGGGTCTCTAGCTCAGGCTGGCCTCAAACATGCAGCTATTGATCTTCCTGCATCAACCTCTGAAGTGCTGGGGACGGAAGACTAGTGCTCTGCTAACTCCACTGTGCATGTGCACATACACACAGACACGCATACATGCACATACGCATGCACACACGCACCTACGCACGCACGCACACACGCAGGCACGCACACACGCATGCACGCACGCACATATGCACACACACACACACAGAGGATAAGCAGTCAGTTGGTTCGTGTCAATAAGCCTTGTTCTCCATCAAAGGGTTTAAAATTGAAGTTTGCATGCCCGGTGCCTGATTCACCCATAGCATCTTGCAGGGTTTCGCTGTGAAGGCTACAGATGATCCCGTTGGGCGAGGGAAGGATTTCCTCTGCTTCTGCTTAGGAGTCCATCTCAACATCTGCTTCTCAGCTTCAGCCTCCCCTTTAGGTAGGCAGCCATTTTACTTATCTGGGGGACAGTGATGTTTGATTTGCGGTGAAATGGAGAGATGTAGGCTTCTCCTGCGTGGAGGTGTTTTTAAAGTGTCCTTCAATTTTTAACGTAAAATATGAAGCCCCTACATAAGGAAGCAGTAGGAAGTGGTAGGTGGCAGAAAAAAATAAAGCTAATACTGACCACCCATGTGGTCCAGAGATGAGGGGGAGGGGATGAGACCCCTGCAGTAGGTGAAGCTACTGAATGAGTTTCCTTTACCTTGTCTGGGGAAATCACAGGAACATGCAGTTTCCAGCATGACAGCTAGCCTAGCCCAATCCCAGCCTGCCTAGCAAACCCCCGACCTGCCTGGTCCCCTCATCTTCCAGATTCAACCTACTCTGCTTGTCACTCAGCCTTCTAGGGTACCCCACTCTAGAATCACCCCTTTCTGTCACACTGGGATTCCAGCTCCAAGTTTGGAATAAGCTGGGTCATCAGTGATCACACGAATCATGACTTTGGTGTACAGGTGTGAGGAGGGGACCTTCAGCAAATTAGTCCATTTAATCACTGTGGCTAAGCCGGAATGTGGGCCCAAACGCAGCCACACCTCCCAATTCCTTCAGAAAAGTTAGAAGCATAATTCTAAAAACTGAAATGCCACAATCTAATCTTCCTTTCTATCCCATTTTCTTTTGAGGTTTGTCTGTTTTAAGAGATCTCACTCTGTAGACGGGGCTGGCCTCAAAGTCATGGCAATCCTCCTGTCTCGACCTTCCTAGTGCTGGAAGTATATACACATGAGCTACAGCCCCCATTAATCTCATCATTTTCCAGTGCTGACAACAAGAATTTACCACATCTGAAGGCTAGTCCAGCCTCAGGTGTTCTCAGGAGACAGGGAATCTTCCTAGTGGAAACGGTTGTCAGGCTGCAATGCCCAGTGCCCTCACACCCAGGTCCCAAGAATGACGGACAAAACCAAGGACATAAAGTCATGGTTAGAGTCCCTTGTACAAATCATGTATTTCCCCATAAGACTGTGTGTTCCTGTTCCTAGGGTCTTCCGCCCAAGGCCCTGACGCCTAGGCCTGGAGCAGAATGAGTGGAAGATCCAAGGGACAGGTGTCCACTCTGGGAGAGCAAAGCGAAAACTGGACGTAACATTGAATAGATGCTCCAATAGAAGGGGGCCTGAGGAAGTCCAGGGACAACAGTCTTGGCAGGACAATGACTCCAGGAAATGGGGGGGGGACCAGGACCCTGCTAGATAGTGTGGATTCCTGTTGGCATCTAGAACTCAAAGCAAGCCAGCAGGGATGTTTGCCTGCCCTTGCATGCTCACTTGGAGAGGTGGAAGTGTCCAGCACCATTTCTGGTGGGGACCAGGGCAGACCGTGACAGGAGGCCCACCGAGGCAGGTGAGGGCACGAACTAAGCTATGTTCTAAGAAAGAAACCAAGTTTGGCAGGAAAAGACTGAGCCAGAGGTAGCAATGGAGAGAGTGGAGGAACCAAGAGGGACCCAGAGGGAGAGAGACAGAGAGAAGTTGGGGGCTGAAGGAACCTTGTCTTTTAGTGAGGGCAAAAGTTGATCTTTTGAGGTAGCCTGGGGTGTGCTCCCTGGGGTAAGTACCTATCTGCCTCCGGGGCCTTCATCTGGGGTAGGGACCAGGCTCAGTGTCCGCCCAGACCCTCTTTCTATGCCCGTGTTTCATTCAGCTACAAAGCACAGAAAGAAGGTGAGGCGGCCCTGGAGTCCCAAGGTAGCATGCTGGGTGAGACCCGTACTCCAGAGGGCTCTCCGGGTGGGGTGCCACTCCTTCGAGGTGACTTGGGACGAGCAGAGGGCTCCCCTTGGCCGGCCTCCAGCTCTTCCTTGCAGTCGCCTCGGGTGTCTCTACCTCGCCGCGAGTCGGGAAGCAAGGAGGGGAGCGGGCGGCGGCCGCGCCAAGAAGCGCCGGGTCACGGCAGGCTGAGGCGCCCGCCGTCCCCGCCCTCCCCCTCGCTTGCCTTCGCCTCCTCCTCCCGCCTCCCTCGCCCGCTAGCTAGCTCGCTCCTTCGCTCTCCCCGCCTTCCCTCCGCGCTCCCCGCCCTCTCCTGCGCCTCGCCTCCTCCGCCCCGCGCCCTGCGGTGCTGCAGCTGCGGGCGGCTCCAGCTGCCCCCAGATGTGGGCTGGGCAGCGCGCGGGGAACTTTCGCGCCGGCTGCGAGTGCGGGGCACCGGCTGCGGTCGGGCTGCCATGGATCCGCCGGCGGGAGCCGCTCGCCGCCTGCTCTGCCCCGCTCTGCTGCTGCTGCTGCTGCCGCCGCCGCCGCTCCTGCTGCTGCCGCCGCCACCCGCGAGCGCCCGGCTCGCCGCCGCTACCGAGCCCCCAGGTAGGTGCCAGTCGCGTCCCTACGCCCCATGTACCTCTGGCCGTCCGATGCCGCCCCGCGCGACCAGCCGCCCCCTCCTCAAGCATCGTCTGAGGAGACTTGGGCAAACTCTGCGCGCCGCGCCTGGGGCCAAGTTGGCCAACTTCGGGGCCCGGGCAGTCGCGCAGGGGGCGCACCCCTGGTGCCTTGGGATGCAGGGAGCTTCGGAGCGCTCGCCGCTCCCGGGTTGCAGAGTGTGGTGCTGAGGGGAAGGGAAAACCCCGCAGCGGAGAGCGCAGAACCAGCACCAGCGGGTCCGGGGGAGCCAGGGCGAGGCGGCGCCCGGGGACGCTCGGGAGGAGCCGGTGTGGAGCGCGCCGCCTGCGGGCCCTGAGCATTCCTTGGGGTGCCCCGGAGGGGTTCCCCGGAGATCGGTGGTACCCTGCTCCGCCCCTCCTGGGGCTTAGGCTCTTGGGGAGAGGGAGCTGGCAGTGGGCTGACCGGGAACTGGACCGAGGACAGGCCGCCCGTGCGAGGGCTAGCCGAGTCTTGGTTGCTCCGGAGGCCAACGGTGAGGACACTTGGGCAGCGGGGACCGCTGAAGGATCGAGGTGCATGAGCAGGGGATCAACGTGGAATGATTCCCGAGGAGCCCCATGTCCTGCCAAGGACGGTATAATTAAGGAGCGAGGGCACTCTGTTGGGGTCGACCTTTAGGGTAACTGCGAGGTGCCCCTGGAGCCTCAACTGGGAATCCGACTGGGGCAGCTCTTTAACTGGCATGGTCCTCTAAGGGGGACGACCGGCAGGCGACGTGGTTCCGGAGTGGTGGTTCTGTCAACGCCCCTTCCTGGAGGTTTCCTGGTGGAATGTCCCTTCTTTGCAATTGAGGCAAGGGCTGGGGCGCCGGTTTACGCGGCCAGGCTCTGAAGCTCCAAGGTCTACCCCTAGTCTAACGCCCCTTTCCGTTGCAGGCGGGCCCCCAGGGCACGGAGCCGAGCGCATCCTGGCGGTGCCGGTGCGCACTGACGCCCAGGGCCGCTTGGTGTCCCACGTGGTGTCTTCGGAGACGGCTGGGGCGGGGGTACGAGCCCGCAGAGCCGCCCCGGTCCAAACCTCAGGCTTGCCCGGAGGCGACGTGCAGGACCCTGGAGGCCGCCTCTTCTACAACCTCACGGTCTTCGGCCGAGACCTGCACCTGCGGCTGCGGCCCAACGCTCGCCTCGTGGCTCCGGGGGCCACCGTGGAGTGGCAGAGTGAGACGGGTGACACCCGGGTGGAGCCCCTGCTTGGGACCTGTCTCTACGTTGGAGACGTGGCCGGCTTAGCCAAAGCCTCCTCAGTGGCGCTCAGTAACTGTGATGGGCTGGTGAGTACACTCTACTGGTGCTCCCTTCTGTTCTGTCCCTTGCCTGGGCTCTGGAAATCCATTACTAGAAAGTCCCCTGAGAGGGCGACATAGCACGAGCTGAGGACCATCTTTTCCTCCCCAGTGCTTAGAAAGACAGGCGCTTTGCTGCAGGGGTTGGCGGGAAGGCAAGATATTTTGATTGGTCAGAGGGGGCGGTTTATATGAACCCAGCCTCCAGCCCCAGTGCCATTCTGCACCCGTCTGCTTTTTGCATATAAGCATAAGTTGCCATGTGGCTCTTTGTGTGTGTGTTTTGGAATGTATGCATGCTTCTTTCTGGGTACCTGTGTGCATACCTGTGTGAACACGTGAATGTGTGTTTTCACTCGAGCACAGAGGTATCTCTGGGCTTCACAAATGTGTGTTACAGAGTGATTTTTGAGCACGTGTGTTGCTGGGCTTGTGGTGGGCATGGGCGCTGGCAGTTTCCTTGCTTCTGTGTATGCACATGACAGTCTGGGGAGCAGGTGGTGATGCGGAAATGCCCAGTTAGCCCTCTCTCCCTCTCTCCCTTGGCTGACCAGGCACCAGAGATTTTTATGCCATGGCTTCCTGTTGAAGTATTGTTGGCTATTTGAAATCAGCTTTCTCCCTCTGATTTGAGCCACGGGGAGCTTCATGTGGCAATGAAGGTCCTAGTGCCCGTGGGCTGTTTGACTTTGGGGGGCAGCGCCTGATGGACAGATAATGGTCCCTTTTGGAGCTATCTGGGGCATCCAGTGTGACCAGAGCGCTGGGAAGCTCACCTGCCACTGGGTGTCCCCCGGGACCATGGTTGCCACACGGGGATTCTTAGAGGAAGCTTGGATCGATGCTCAGGGCAGAGGCTGACATTGATGGTACTGTCCTGCCACCCAGGGGCCTGGCACAGCAGAACCTATGGCAGTTTTCTATTTTGGATTGAATGTACAGTGGTCAGGCTGGCTGTGCCGGCCAGACATCTGAAGCCACCCACCATGAGTTCTGCTCTAATTGCTGTTCAGGGTACTCCAGCTCTGGGCAAGTGGCCATGCTTCCAGCCCTGAGCAATGCCCGTCCTCAGGGAGCCCAGGTTGGCCCTGCCATCTGCAGAGCCGGCAATTACCTCCCAACTCTACAACCACTGGAGTTCTTTTTATGGACACACAGGAAACAGCACTTGTTGCTTCAGAGGAATCACTGCCTTTGGTGGGATTTACTTAGAGCCTGAGCACATCGCAAGCGACGGCTTACGTGTCCTTGGAGGAGTCAGTTTAATTTAGGGCAACTTTTTCCCTATTCTCTGTTGTCAGTCCCAGCCCTACAGGCAAATCACCTTTTAAGGATGCTAGTGAGTTTCCTGAGTGTGAAAGGAGACCATTGCTGGGGACTTGGGACAAGGTGGTGGGGTTAGCAGGGATCCCCTCTGGGCTCATTAATTCCCAAATAGAGCACTGGGCGGTGACGCTGTATCATTCGTTCATCTCTCCAATTCATTTGTTCAGGGAACTCCTTTGACCCTGTTTATCCTTTGGGCCAGTCAGAGATGGGGCGGGTCCCATGCCTGTGTGGGTGGAAGGGCACTCGGGTGCTGTTTGATGGGGTCTCAGAGAGCTGGAGAAAGTGCAGCTTGGCAAACAGGTGGAGAGACGTAATTTTGATGGTTCCGGGTGAACTGACCTGGGAAGGACAGGCGTGCTGACATGTTACAGGAAAGGGACATCCACCGGCAGAGGTCGTCGCTGAAGCCTGAGTGGCTTCAGTGAGTCAATAACAACCTTGACATGGTGGGCCAGCATTGTTGGGTTTCCTTTTCTTTCTTCTCCTCTTGTTTTGTCTTCCTTCCTTTCCCGTCTTCTTTGTTCTCCTCTCCCTTCCCCTTTCCCTTCTTTTCCTGTACATACCTGTACTGGCTTTTCTACCAAATAATTCCTTAACCCTTTAAGGTCCTCTGAGCTTCCATGATGGGCTCAATCACTAAGGACCTGGGCCTTCCCACCTAGTGTCTCTCGTTGTCACTGTGACTCTGGAAAGGAGACAGCCTGGTAGCTGGCTTACATATGACAGGCTGAGGCATTAAGGGGTTGAGTAACTTGTTCTAGCCACACAGCCAGTGATGGTGAGGGTCTAACCTAGGAACTGTCTGGCCTCTTTTGCCTCAGTGCTCCCAATTCTGAGGGTGTGGGCATGAAACTACTGAGATGTCATAAAGGGGATAAATTGTGCCCTGCCAAGCTTCAATGGGCTGTAAGGGGGTATTTAATTCATCCGGCCCATGCCTTTCTCCATGAGGCTCCATCACTCTTCCTCGATAGCTACCTAGATAAGTAAAGCCGGTGAGTCAGGCTGAAGTCTTACCAAATACAGATTCTACTTCAACGCACCCAGGGTGGCGCCAAGGAGTCTGCATTTATGGGAAACTTCCTGGCCCATGTTGTTCGCCTTTGAACCATTTGACAATCAAGGATCTGGAGTCCCTGGAATGCTCTGCAGGGCTGTGCCTTGAGTTGTTCTGAACAAGTGGGGTTTAGAGGACAAATCGTACTTGGGAACGGTGCAGATTCACCCTAGGGGAGAGAGGAGGGAAGAGAGAGAGGGAGAGAGGAAGAGAGAGAAAGAATCTGCAAAGTTCTATAGTAAAGGAGTCTTACCAGCTCTGTTTCATCCAACACACTAGAAGATGCAGTCTGGAACCCCCTTTTCTTTGGAGAATGCAATTAGCACCCAAGCATGTGTGTGCGGAACCATGGTGTAGACAGAAAGTGCTGTTGACAGCAGGACCACTGGCCCTATCGCTGCTGTCCTGAAAGACGTATTTGTGTATCTGCTTGCCTGTTGCTAAAGACACATGGGCATGCTTCTCCACTTACGGGAGGAAGGCAGCAGTAACTGATGACCGTGGACATTGCTCTCCTAATCCGGTTAGTCCAGGGGACTCTAATTGAATCCACCGCATCTATTAGCCTCTTAGTCACAAGTGACAGAATTCGAGTCAGTTTAAACAGAAAGGGGAACTTATTAGCTCACATGGTGACAAATCTTCAGGCGTAGCCCATTAGGACCTCTGCTCCCTTGTCCCTTTGCTTCCTGTGGGCTGGCTTTGCTGTCAGTTGGAGTCCCCCTCTTGGGAATCTCCACCAGCACTGGGCTATTTCCTTTTGTGGATGAACTCTGGCTCATCTCAGGTAGGATGATCTTGATGGAGCTGGGATATGGGGCTTGCAGAGTCCCATAGAACTGAGATCAAGCAGCACCGTTCCCAGAAGCCACTTAAGATTTTTCTGGCCAGAAATGAGGACCCTGGGCCAGCCAAGAGTCGGATTCTACTGGAGTTTGGTAAAGACGCAGCTGTGCCCCGTGAAGGCTCGTGTCATGGGATGTACCACACACTTGCCTGCAGATACACTGAGAGCCCCTCTGCTCGTCACTGGCCAGAAGCAGCTCGTCATTATTTGCTGGGGGGAGGGGTGGAGGGAGGTTGGTGGTGTAAAATGTTGCCTTTCACAGTGAATGAGGGGGAAACAAAACTCCTGGGGAATATATATCATATGGCTATGACAGAATTTTCTAGTGTTTCTTGGATTACACAGCAGGCAAGCTAATTCACACCAGTTTTACATACTCAATGGAAAAAGAAGCCTGCAGATATGAAAAGTAATGATGATGAATGGCGGCTTGCAATCCTACTATGCGCAAGGCTACCTGTGAAGCATCTGCTATTACTGCATATGCAGTATGTCCCTTTATCTCCTGTCTACAGATGAACAAACCAAGTCCCCAAGAGGAGAGAGAGAGAAAGAGGGAGAGAGAGAGAGAGAGAGAGAGAGAGAGAGAGAGAGAGAAACTCTGGTTGAGATCTTGGAAGCCATTATCAAAACCTGTATCTGACTCCAGGTCACCCTTACTCCATTTTATTTTTCTTTATGATTGCATGCTAACAAAATAATAATCACAGCAATAACAGAACTGCATTAAAAAACATTTATAATCTTTCCTATTTTTATTTCTCAGAACCTCTGAGTCAGAAGCATTGCCCATTGTCTAGTTGAGAGTGCAGAGGGATGAGTTGACAGTCTGGGGGTCTGCTCTGAGCTGGAGCACCTTATGGGTGGGTGTCTTGACTCCTCACTCGTGAGTGAGCACAGTGGAGTCTCTAGGAGGATAGAAATGGCTCTTCCCATGCCTCTGTCCATTCAGGAAGCCCTAGGGGACTTCTGTAGCCTGATATAGGCAGGACCACTGATAACATCCTGCTGGCTGGGCTAGGGGAAGACTCTGACCTCCAGAGCCTTCTAGACTAGCCTGGCTTAGTTCTGGGCCTTGAGGAAGGAGGTGTCCATCCTTTCCTAGGAACTCATTAGGGCTTGTGACAATAAGGAAGTCTCTGGTTTTTTTAGGGGGTGACCATATTTTCTTGGGGTTTCCTGTTGGGCTACTATCCTGACCAGACCTTTGGGATTCCTAAAAGCCACAAAGAAAAGTGATGTTGCCCCAAGGACTAAGGTTACATGCTGGGCTCTGTCAACTTAAATGCTAGGGTGGGGGAACTTCTAACACTGTGAGTTGGGGTCCAGGACTGCTCCTCATGGGGGGAGGGGCTGTGCTCTTTCTTTCCACCCTGTCTTGGCCCTGCCTGGACAGCAGTGAGCCCTTAACAGGGATCCAAAGAGGCACCCTAGTTTCTGGATTCCTCAGGTCACAGTAGAGGCTCCTGCTTGCCTCCTCCTGTGAGTAATCTAACTAGATCCCCTAGGGTGACTTCTGCCTCTTCCCTAGCCTGTCACCTTGCCTAGGACTTATTGAGCTTAAATGACAGAAACCAGCTTACATTGGGCAGAATGAACAAGAGATAGTATGTGTCTAGTTATCTGAAGGCTCTAAGGAGTATTGGCTTCAGGCTTGGCTGGATCCAGGACCTCGGGTTGTTCAGTCTCTCACCTCCTCTACTCTTGGTGTTTATTTTAGAAGACTCCTCCCCTCTCACCCTTCACGAGGAACCC